ACTTGGTACATAGATGTCATATGACACTGCACAGACCTGATAGTTTTTATGGTAATATCAGTACATATTAATTACCTAATTTGCATAATTAATTTTCAGCATTTGATATAAGTACTAATCATCACATTTCAATGAAACTTGGTACATAGATGTCGTATGACACTGCACAGACCTGATAGTTTTTATGGTAATATCAGTACATATTAATTACCTAATTTGCATAATTAACCAACTTTCACACTGATATCTCAGGTACTAAACATCACATATCAATGACATGGATGCTGTAGGACAATAGACAGACCTGGATAATTGTGGGTTAAAATCTGTACATATTAATTACCTAATTTGCATAATTAACCAATTTTAAGCTTTCACACTGATATCTAAAGTACTAATTATTCCATTTCAATGAAACTTAGTACAAAGATGCTCTAGGACAATGTACAAACCTAATTAGTTTGGGCTAAAAATCTGTTCATATTAATTCCCTAATGAGCATAATAATTCATAATTCTTTGGTTCTAATCACATTTCAATTAAACTTGGAAACATAGATTTTCTGTTACATTGCGCAGACCTCATTAGTTTTACACTCAAATCTGTTCATATTAATTTTCTGATTTGCATAATTAGTTTTCAGCTAAGTAATTTCGAATTATATTTAATGTGTCTCCAATACTCTCTCAGCACATGGGAGTTCTTTCTAAGCTTTCTTTGATTTTGTTTGTTTGAAAACAAATCGGACAAGAATCTAAAAAAAAAATCTGTACATTTTCTTTGGACCTTTTCACTACCAGACATTCTTGCCCAAATTTGTCTGCACTTTCTTCTTATATATTTTTCAATATTTCTGGAATGAACCTTAATTTTGCAGCCAACAGACAAAATTTGAATCAACTTCTCGTTTTTACTAAACAAAAATGAGCTATTTTTGTCCCAATCTTCTGAGGAAAAGTACAACCAAGACTATTTTCTTAATTTGTGATGGAAAATAGTAACTGGTGGAGAAAAGGTTAACCTACAAACACATGAATTACTAAAAATAAAATTCAAATACTGATAAATATGAAGATTTTATCTTGCTATACATTTCCTAAAAATGGTCATTGAGGGCACCATACCACAATTGGTATTAGTTGTACATTTGCAGTGTGAGGTTCAAAAGCAGGGCTTCTTGTAAATGTAATTCCAGGTTTCTCACATTGAAATGTCCCCCAAAAATATCTGGCAAAATATATAATCAATTTTGATGTAGAAAATACTTGTACAAATAGTTATTTTGGTACTTTGCCATTATGTTATTATATGGCACTATATTGGGCATTTATCTCGTTGAGTCGAAGAATATATACAAAGTTTGATGCTATCTGCTCTCTGATTGGTCAGACTGTTAGCTGTCTGGGTTGGGTAGCCAATCAGGCACAATCTTGTAAGTAGCTTAGCACCAGCTCCATCAGGTGGCAAATAATGAATGCATAAATAGTGGTCAACTATATGCACTGCATTTAAATACATTATACTGTTAAACATGACCTCTCTTACATAGTGACCACATTTGGGCAGTCTCAATCATGCGATTCACATGTAAAGTGACCTTGTATATCAAAAAACAGTGAAGAAATCGTAATCCAGTACGACTATCTATACAGGCATTCATAAACTGAATACCAGCTCTCATGTACCATATCACAATTCTAAATCCTATTGCATTGTGGGGTAATTTCAAGCAACATGACAAAACTTCTACAATACACTATGATTTGGAACTGCAATATAGGTTATGTAGGCAAACATGAGCTGAGAGAAGAGGCATAAGAAATGTATATGTGATGTGGCACGTTTTACCCCACACTTCCCTAGATAGGGGTACATTTTGTTGGGAACAATAATTTCTGTCAATGACAACATTTTCACCAAAATTTTTTTTTTTCCACTCCAAAATTTCCATATAACAGGTATAAAGTTTGAGTTTGGGCAGAAGACCCATGTGAACTGTTTGTTATTCCCCCCTGGGGAATAGGTCCCACCATAAAATCTAGGGATTGTCTTGTATCTAGGTAACCATTTGTTTTCCTTTCCGTGGCCTTTTGTCAAGGGTTTGGCAGTCAACATAATATTATAATTAATAGTTGTAACGAAAGTAGCTATTATGGTAATTAGGTGAATATGCACTTGCAAACAACCGCATAACCCTAGCAACTAATAAAGATGTTTCAAAGAAGTTGTATTCTTTTTTTGGCAATTAAAAACAATCGAGCAATGATAAAGTCTATAAATATAAATAAGACAGACACTTACATTAAAACCTGGATTTACTTTGGTTAATCTTTATAGGGGGAAGTACATGGGGCACTGTAAGAGCAATTACAAAATAAAGATTGTGAGTACGTACGCCATACAAACAGTTTGAGATAATACAACACCAGTCTTGACTCATGGTACAACGCAAAATATGTATATAATACAATGAACAAGTTACTCAAAGAAAGACAAATTTAGTATACTGTAAAATACTTTATTTTCGCTTGAAATTAATTTTCGCTGAAGGAATGATTCAGTATTTCACAGTATTTGTAATAAAGTATTTCACAGTATTTGAAAAAAATATTCAAAACACAATGTTATATGGGATATATTCTTCCTGTGGTGAAAATCAAGGAAGCAGGAAAGGCAACAATGAACTGATGTGATGATTTTCCCTATTTACAATATGCATAGTTACAGGTATATACTCCTTCCAACATTTCTGTACAGTGAAAACAAACAGGAAATGTTAATTTCCACATGTTTCCCTTGAGTAAAACATGGGTTTCTAACGTGATGTACGGGACATACTGTGCAAATGGCAGCCAGTTCAGGTAACGGTTATTGCGTTTGGAATAGCCAATATTTGCTAAAACTACATCTATGTCAAAGATAAGTTATGCTACCTAAGTTGAAATGTATTGTGATCTAATATACAATTAGTAGTTTGGTATGCGACTGACCTATTCCTCTGGATCGACCATCATGTGGACTGCAACCAAATCGTGTTGTTGGATACGGATAGTCTTTGATATATGGATATAGTTTATGTGGATTGTCGTAACTGCTACGAGACTCAGTGTTTGTTGTGTAATTAATTTCTGGTGGTTTCACTGAAAGACAAAATATAACAAAACATAAAGACGGCCATTGTCAGAAAACTAATATAAGTACAATCAATCATGCTGCGCATAATACTACTATTTTTACCCTGTGTAGGGTAATGTAACACCACATAGAACACTGTCATTTAATTCCACATAGAACACTTGTGTAACACCACACACAACACTGCCATGTAACACCACACAGAACAATGCCATGTAACACCACATACAACACTGCCATGTATCACCACATAGAACACTGTCAAGTAACACCACATACAACACTGCCGTGTAACATCACACAGAACACTGCCACGTAACACCACATAGAACACTGTAATGTAACACCACATAGAACACTTTCAAGTAACACCACATACAACACTGCCATATAACACCACATGCAACACTGCTATGTAACATCACACAGAACACTGCCGTGTAACACCACACACAAAACTGCCATGTAACACCACATACAACACTGCCATATTACACCACATACAACACTGCCATATAACACCACATAGAACACTGTCATGTAACACCACATAGAACACTGCCATGTAACGCCACATAGAACACTGCCATGTAACATCACACAGAACAATGCAATGTAACACCACATACAACACTGCCATGTAACACCACATACAACACTGCCATGTAACACCACATACAACACTGCCATGTAACACCACATACAACACTGCCATGTAACATCACATGGAACACTGCCATGTAACATCACATACAACACTGCCATGTAATACCACATACAACACTGTCATGTAACATCACATAGAACACTGCCATGTATAATCACATACAACACTGCCATGTAACACCACATACAACACTGCCATGTAACATCACATACAACACTGCCATGTAACATCACATAGAACACTGCCATGTAACATCACATACAACACTGCCATGTAACACCACATACAACACTGCCATGTAACATCACATGGAACACTGCCATGTAACACTACATACAACACTGCCATGTAACACCACATACAGCACTGCCATGTAACATCACATAGAACACTGCCATGTAACATCACATACAACACTGTCATGTAACATCACATAAAACACCGCCATGCAACACCACATACAACACTGCCATGTAATACCACATACAACACTGCCATGTAACGCCACATACAACACTGCCATGTAACATCACACAGAACAATGCAATGTAACACCACATACAACACTGCCATGTAACACCACATACAACACTGCAATGTAACATCACACAACACTGCCATGTAACACCACACAACACTGCCATGTACACCACAAACAACACTGCCATGTAACAGATAGAACACTGTCATATAATGCCACATAAAAACTGCTATGTAACATCACAGATCACTGAAAGATAACACCATACAGAACACTGCCTTGTAATGCCACATAAGACATTGTCATGTAACGCCACATAGAACACGTATTATACCATGTAACATCACAGATCACTGAAAGATAACACCATATAGAACACTGGCATGTAATGCCACATAGAACACTACCATGTAACATCACAGATCATTGAAAGATAACACCATATAGAACACTGCCTTGTAATGCCACATAGGACATTGTCATGTAACGCCACATAGAACACTGCCATGTAACATCAGAAAACACTGCCAAGTAACACCACTTAGAACACTGTCACATTTAATTAGTGATCTTACTAAATACTCACCATCGCGAGCGTTCCTTTCCAGTGCCAGGTCTTTATGAATACAGGTGAAGTTTGTGATAGCTATTAAAAAAATAAAAATGTTTTAAAAAATGTAATGGAACAAACTGTTATAGCATATTTAGTACTCTCATGTGTTGTGTTTTTATAGGTTATAATACTAGAGGGTTTGGGGCCAAAATTAATGATGGCGATAATCTTGTAAATTATGAGGATTTCAAATTGCCTAGAATTTCGTAAGATATCCTTGAAAATAATGTTGACAGAGCTTTGGTTGATCTGTTCTGTATCATAAACATTCATAGTTTCATTGTAAGCAAATAACACCGAATAAACGGCAAGGTAAAGACTATGTCTAATTATAGTAAACACGTACTGCGTGCGTGACTCGAACCGGCGCTCGCGTACGGCACCTAATCGCCTAGCTTCACGCCACTACACGTCTTCCACTCGGCCACCGGGCATCCGGGCATATTTTCATTGGTCGCGTTGAAGTAGATTGAAATGGTGAATGCTATCATAATCATGGCGTGGACGTAGTTGATTACATAATAGTTTTCAGAAGATAATATTGAAGTTTTAGACCATTGCACTGGAAGTGAAAGTGTTGGTACTGGTGTGTTTAGTTGGCAATAGTATTTATAATTAAAGTGCCTGAGAAATGCCTACTATCAACTTTTGTTTTTAAGCCCTGGCTGGCCTGGCTTGCCCATATTGATGATTTATGCCACTTTCACTTGTATAACTCGCGCGCGTACCGGGAAAACACGGCCCCGCATTCAGTAATTATGACACGCCCCTTTTTTTGTTTTGGTCGACTTTTTTCGGCTGTACGAACATTGCCGAGGAATTGTTTACACATGATGTGTATTGACTTCTGAGATTGTAAACAGTATTACGCAGTTGGGTGTCAGTAAGTCGATAATCACTATGGTGAGACGGTGCGCTTTTGGAGGCTGTAACAACACGACCAAAGATGCAACCTTGTATTCATTTCCAAATGAGCCGATGAGACGTCAACTTGAAAATGTTACAGACAACGAAGCACAGAACAGCAAACCCATGTAACATTTCTGGGTGACTGATGTAATTAATTCTCACTGAAGCAGCAAAGGGTGTGAGTAGTAAGTATGGAAACAAATCTACAGAAAGTGTTGGTACACTTTGGTGGGACGAAGAATGTGAATTTGCAAGAATACTTTCAAATAATTCACTTGATGTGGTATAAAAGTATAAAATGCGAGAAAATTTGTTCATCGATTATGTCAATCTAACATGAAGGTATAAGCGGAGGTGTTCCCGTCTTGACAAATGTGAAATTCTTCTAATTTCTGGGAAATTGTAAACAAAGTGGGTGGAGAATTTGTTAGCGCTCAAAGTCTCCATAAAGACAATGGAATGGTTTGGCCATTCCGGAAATACTTCAGACTTTGATCTATATGTACGTTGGTAGAATAGTAGCATTATCAATCCAGTGATATTGTACTTGTCATACTTTGGCAACATTTAGTTGTATAGCGCCCCCTATAGGCCAATTAAAATATTGAAAAAAAAACACGGCCTGTACCGGTACATGTCAGTTATATAATGAACATTTTGACCCCCCCAACCTTTTTTGGAAATTCATAGATCTGCCCCTGTTATTTTAATGTACGCTGAAGACATCGCTAATAGTACAAAGTAATCAATTTGATTACGGTGCAAAGGGGATTAATTTACATAAACGAAAATTGTCGTGTTTCGAAATACAGGACCATTAAGGAGATACGAAAATTTTGTCGCAGACTACAATTATCTTGGGTTGTTGGTTTCATCCAGGCTGCCAAGGTCTCCTGTAAAAAGTTTGGCCGGATAACGGAATTAGGTAAAAAATGATTATTTAAATTATTTTAATGTTCCAATTTAATGTAATGAAAGTGAAATTAGGAGGTTTGAATTATGTGATACGGGTGAAAGAATACTAGTATTGTGTAGTCTCTCGATTTAATCACAGTGTCAACCAAACCCAAATTTTACACCTATATAGACTTACCCATGTGCCCGAGAGTCTCAGGGAATCTTCTAACAATTAAATTAACATCCGGGTTCCAAATACCAAAGGTCTGTCAAGCGTGACATGAAATATTAATAATTATGTTATAGTAATATATTGTATTATAGTATTTCTTGTTGATGCTTAAACAGTTACACAATAACACAGTTGTTATGTAGTTGTTTCGATATCTCTCAATTTTAAAATTTAATAATTTAATATAAATTTCAAGATATTGAATTTCCCTAACATAAAGTAAGTTAGATCTCAGACTAGTAATACAATTGTATTACTAGTCTGAGGTTAGATCAAGCCTATAATGCTATATCGCAATGGTGGGTAACACTTACCTGATTATCTTTGTTGTACGGACTTTGATATTTCAGTCCCACTGAGTGCGGATTTTGACGTCGCGTTGGTGAAAGCACTCGTGGGTAGCTTCGGGGAGGGGTGTGTTCTAAGCTGAAGTCAGTTAAAGTGGTCGTCCGTGGACGTCTGTACAACCGCGTGTAAACATTCGCCATTTTCACGGAATAGTGCTAATATCCGACGCTTCTCCGGTGTGCTATTGTTACTCATTGTCGACGAACAATCTGAGTTATTGTTCGTGACGTCACAGAAGCGTGTTCACACTGTCCATACAACGTGTGCTGTATCACCGTCCCTCACGGTGGCTGTATACAGTGTTTGCTGCGACCCGGGCTGCGACGTACTATATGCTCCACTCAACTGCTAAGGATTAGTGTCATGATGTAAAATTCAGTCTTTTAAAATTCAAATTAACCAGATACTCCAGATCATAATACTCCATCTGTACATTATTGGTGAAAACAATGTGGAAAGGCTAATTCGACGCAGGGATTTTTTTTTTTGATTTCTTGTTTCAGCCATTTACCTTACCGGTAATATAACATAGTGATATATATTATTTAATAGTGGCTAACAACTACATTTAAACTCATTATACTGTCACACGCCATTCATTTAATCACGTCTAAAATACTAGAAAATGCGTGCGGCTTAAACAGAACGTTCGATCCTGGGAACAATTGTCAGTGATTGCCGACGAGGGCGCTATTTCAGTTTTAATGTTTATGATTTACAATTTGCACTACCCTCATTCGAACTTAAAGTGTCTTGATACCCAATTGCAATTGTGTGTATAATACATTGTTTAAATATATTTCTGCCACTGTGACCGTTTGTGAATTCAAAGGCTTATTTAACTAATTTTTAGGATAGCTTTTGTAGCCCTACAGTTTATATAGCAATGTTGGCTCCAGCCTCGCTTTAGATCTCAGACATTTTTCGCCTTGCACAGCGTGCAAATCAATCTCACAGATGAGTTATATTATCAAAACAGAAAAAAGTCAAATAGTTGGCACAATGAACCAGCCACACTGTAAACCTACAGTTACAGGGAGCACTGTTATTTAACCGTGGTCACTCAGCAAGATATTCCGACAAAATATGTGAATTTGTGACGAATTAGTAGACTGTGAAAAATGCGTTTTTGTGATGCGCTGTGGTCGTATATTACCTGAACTGAGTTCATCGAATTGGAAATATGTTCTTCGTTTTATCGATGACATTACTGTTATTAATGAGCGCAACATCATGCTTTGGACACGGTAAGGATTGTTAAATACAACGCACCCTGGATAATTACGAGTTTGTTGTGTTCTGTAACATTCAGACAGTCCGTTCGCCTGGCAGTATGGTTCGATTCATCTATTAAGTTACCACCAATCGATTAATCTTGTAACACTTAAATTCACTATCACACAACTATAACGTCAGAGGGCACTTTATGGTAAAACACATAACAACAAATTTTGAAAGGATAGAATGTTACATCACAAAGCAACATTTTTTTTTTCCCTACGTTTTATTCCGCTCTTCATTCAAGTTACTGTTTATAGATTGTGCTTTAATTCAGCCAATTTGCAAATTCTAAGCTACAATTCATTTTTGTAATACATTGTGATATTATTATATTGTGAAACATTTATTTGACAATTTTTCAATCCCTTTCTTCATTAAAGAAACAGCAGTCAAAGATAAAGTGCTTCTCACCTTCAATATTATTTGTTTTATATTTTTGGCAAAATCTATATTTATCTTGTATTTCAGAGATTTTCCTCCTTCTTAATTCAATTTCCAGACAGCCTAGGAAGTTAACTTTTTGGCAAAGAGCAAAATGCTCCTAAGCACTAAAAAATTAGAAGCAAAATGCTCCTAAACCTAAAACTTTAGGAGCAAAATTGTTTCATGCGTAGAACAAATAAAATGTGTTATGTTAAACTTTGCGAATACTGTTCTGTTACAAAAAGTCTTGATTTTTATCCTGGTCGAACACTGCATGTACGATGTTATCGACCACACCAGTTTCACATTTGGTAGTCTGGCCCGCACTGATTCATGCATCCATCTGTGAACAGAACTTGAAGGATCAAATTCAGCCATCATGATGCTAGGGCCGTCCAGACTGATACGTATTAAATCACCCACATCTTCTGTTTTGTGGCTGGATGCGAAGATGTAGGATCTGATGTCCCGGAGTTTGTTGTTGGAATTTTGTTCTGCTCAACCGACCGAAAGCAATTAGTAATCTGCTTATTCGCCATGCTTTGTTCAAGCCGAAAATGCGACAGTGTGACTTTGATTGATGTATCCAACACGACTTAATTGACACTGAAAAATGCCGTCACGTTAGCCAATGAAAATTATTTAATTGACAATCAAAGAGCTGCCGACAATGTAAACCGGCAATCATTTAAAAAAAAATGTATGCCCATATTTTGACTAGAACAAAACAACTGTCGATAACATATTTACAATGTTACTACCCGGTATTTCTTTATTTTGACTAATACACTCTCAATTGCAACATGACACTTGTCATGCGCCTGAAACTAGACTTTCCGAGTACTTTGTAAATTATTCAAAGCCTAAAGATCGTGCACGGTATCTCGTCTAGTCTGACTCGTGCAAGGCATGTTTCAGCTGCGTGCAGGGCTTCAATTTTCACTCGCAAAACATGAGTAGTTTCTGAAAACTACAAGCTAAATGCGGATACGTACAAGTTTGAACTCGCATAGACGTATTTTCTAGGTGCCTTTGTGAGTAGGTACTCGCAACTTCTTAGGCTGCCAGATTATGATAACTAATTTTGATAGCATTTTACACAAATTAAAATCATTTATTTCAGACAGGTATTTTCCATTCGTAACTTAATTATTACAATTGTTTTCCTCATCAGGACTGTTATTAATCAATCAATTGATAATCAATTATTGCAATCAAGGTCAGTTATTAACCATCTAGATTCAGATTTGACATTTGAATCACAGTTACGTGTGAACTAGCGCTTGATTATGTCCATTATATTTACATTTAAACATATGACATACCTAAAGCTGCTGTCCCTCTGCAAATGATTAAGCCCAGGCATTTTCCGTGTCTAAATCGCTCAACTATCCGTTTTTATGCAATCTGGGAAGTCTAAATCACAAAACGAAGTAGAGGATGACAAAGCTGAAATATCCAAGAACAAACACATACCAAAAATTATATTTTAAGTCTACCTTGGATCGGAAGTGAGAATTTGTTACTACTCTGAATATCCAAACATATTTTAGTATAAGGTAGTAACCAATATTAACAATTGCTACTTCCGACTAGCTAATTTGATTCAGTTATCTTATTGATAATAACTTGTCTATTTTTTTTAGAGGCATATGAATTGAGGGTTGGTTCTCAAAGAACTACAAATGGTACTTTGAATAATAAACTGTATCTACATAATGACTCTTTGGTAAGTCTGGGTTGCTATAGTTACCATGCATGCGAAAAAGGGAAGGGGAGCTGACATTGATCCATTTTCAGTCAGCAGGAATATGCAGATATTTTACAAGGTATTCATGTTATCTTTGAAAGTTTATGAAATTTTCGAGATATTGGGAAAATATGTTTTCCGATCACACTTACAATCAAGTTGGAATATAATTCATAGCATCTAGATATTCATTCTTATTTCTGGAGACAATGTACAAGTGTGTATGAGGCAAGTGTGAGGCAGTCAGGTGAGCGAATGACTTGTTATAAAACTTCTCTTATTTCCTGTCACGAGCACCACTCAGTAACATATCGCACATGAAACTTGTCTGACAGAAACTTGAAAAACGTCTTTCAAGGAAGTAATCAATGATAAGTAATGTGTCTATCATAATGGTGCTCCCAAAAAAAAATAGTGTACTCCGCTTAATTTTGTAGCAGTGAAAATTTCTCTGGAGATCCTATGCCATGAATAAATTAGTAGTAAATTTTGTCTTTGTAAATCCCATAAAATCCTGAAAAATTCCAAGTAGTAAAAATTAGACAGTTTACTATGGAAAGCATTGCTACTTTAATTCAATGAGCTGCACAAGGGAATGTGTGGTACTGCAGCATGTACACATTCATGTACAAGTACATACATATGTACAACAAATTTACATCTATACAAAATTCAATTTTTGCATTTTGATACAATAAAGGTGATTTTTAGTTTTTGCATTTTGATACAATAAAGGTGATTTTTAGTTTTTGCATTTTGATACAATAAAGGTGATTTTTAGTTTTTGCATTTTGATACAATAAAGGTGATTTTTAGTTTTTGCCAATGTATAGTGTACATGTGATTGATTTGTTTGCAGATTATACTATGCTGTATAATTGATTTAAATGATAACACAGTTGACAAGTCTAATGTGTTGGTTAAAGAATTCACTGTTCTTGGATATACACCTAGTGTTATGTTATACAACAGTACATGGAGACAGTCATTCACTTTTCCAAATTACTATATACAGGTATATACCAAGTATTATTTAAATTACGTCTAAGAGTTTGAAACTTTTTGTATGTTTAATTTTAAACTCAATTTATTTTATTGAACTTTCTCATATTCACATAGAATTACAGTATTATTTTTGTCATTATTTTATAAATATGATATTTTTATAAATAACAATGAGCGTTAAAATTCAAATTAACCAATCCAGAATTGTTACATCAACGTTAGTTCTAATTAATATTAATGAGTTCAATATTTTTAATCAAGAAATGCCTCATTTTGAATACATGTATGTTGTCAGACACAGTTGCTATGTCACGAGACATGCCAATCACTATTGAATATTTGACTTTGAATGAAAGCTGATGATACAAATTTGTATGAATTCATTTATAAGGAAACCCTAGGTTTGTGTCTGTATTATCTCTAACCCAGTGTATAATAATGTTTAAATGGGTTTGTTTTTAATTTTCATGTTTGTTTCAGACTGATAATCATACAGTGGAATGGAAATTAGTTGTTGACAGGGAGAGAATTAATCCTGATAAAGGTGAGAAATGTAACATGTACGGTTTTGTTTCAAAAATTCGGTACAGAACCAAATCACTTTTGAAATGCAGTTTTGTTGTTATGTGTGTGAGTACAATATCTTGCATGTTATGTTATACTTGAAACTGTGTTAGAATTTCAAACTACGACAAGAAATCCCCAAAGAATTATTGCTTTGTTATTTATTTCCTGTTTGCACAGTTACTGTTGTTACTGTCAGAACTACTGTAAAATACTTTCAATTTTATGTTTTGCTGAAGGGATGATTCAGTGGAAAAAATAAAAAAATCAGTGAAAATAAACTCCATATAAAACACTCAAAAAGTCTTTTCAGCAAAAATTAATCCCAGCTAAAATAACATATTTTACAGTACTCTAAACTTATAAAATGAAACGACTAGTACCATACATGTTTATTCTCTACCTTCCAGTTTTAATAGTTAATTTGGGACTGGACTGCACAAGATCATAATATTATTCAAAAATTAGCATAGCACTGTTGAGCTTGCAGGTGTAATTGTAATACAGTGACCATTTCTTGTAAATGCTGTACAATACATATATCCATGCAGTTATGCTTTATATATACCGTACTGTAAAATACTTATAGCTGGAATTAATTTTCACTGAAAACACTTTTTAGTTGTTTTGTATGGAATTTATTCATAAATTTTCGACAAATTGAATTTAAAATATAGAAAAACAAATATATTCGCTGGATTTTATTTTCAATTTTCCCTGAATCATTCCTTAGGCAAAAATAGCGAAAATTAATACCTAACGAAAATAAAATATTTTACAATATCCATTAGTTTGATGATCAGATCCAGCATTTGAGATGATTTAATTCCAATACATTTGTTTCATACAATTCTTCATTGTGTACACCACATCCATGGCTATTATTTAATAATAATATTTGTTAATCTTCAAGTACCTATTCAATGGAATGCACTTGTTGAGCTTGTTGAAGGCTCTGGTATATTCAAATCAACAGCGTCATTACTTGACCTTGATGCAGGTAAGTAATGGAATATATTGTTTGTTCTTCATAGAGCCTCAATCAAGTAGAAGTAATTGCGTCAAACAAATTTGTTCATACTATTATGTCTATCTGATTTCTAGGAGTTTAATACTATATTATATTATATTATAATTATAATTTATAATTATAATTATAATATTCAACGGATATTATGGTTTGTGATGTGAAATAATTAATACATCCACTAATTTGGGTTGTCTTGCATCTTGTACTTATAAATTTATATACAAGCACGTTTCTTCTGTTGTGGTGATGTACATTAATAAAAAAAATCTTGCACACCAAAGGCAAAGGAAAAGATTTTTTTTTATCTCACTCTTGCCTACCAGTAGTGCTAGTATGAGAAATCAAATCGTCAATTTTCACACCCTCTGGGGCAACAACCCAACCCAAGATTAATACTAACCAGGCCTTCTTTTACAGAATGCTAAATAGGTGATTTTCCGAACAATTGCGAGATCTCGCGAGATGCATGAAAGACGCGCGTCGAATGTCTGCCGCAAAAATCGAACGATTTGATTTTGAACTAGAATTTCTTTATTTCGCAGCTTACATTGACCGGCCGATCTTCGACAGCGGAATATTGCTTCCGAATACCCTCACTTAATCGAAATTGCCTATCATCAAATGTGGACAGCACATTATTAAGCATGGAAATGTCCCCGAAATACTTTCGCGTTTGTCGAATCCCACGCGATGTTTGACGCGACTACGACGCTATCACCTTTGTTTGTCCTGTTTTTACGTTCGATTTCACGCATAACGCGTGATTCTCGCAGTGTACGGAAAATGGTCTATTGCATTATATTATTTCTAACAACGTGCATTTCTCACAACTTGTGGAATTTTATCACACATATCTGTAAACATATTAATTATTTGCTGGTTTTTAATTTCGCTATTTTCGCTGATATGTAAAATCTGTTAAATTAAATTCATGTGAACTTGTAAAATAAAATAGAACTCATTGTTTCATTGTCAAGTTCATGAACTGAAAACCCAGTAAAATTGCTGAAATCATCAAAATAGTGAAATTAAACGCCAGTGAAAATAAATAGGTTTACGGTACCTTACAAATTATGATAGAACATGTCATACTACACATATGCATTACACTGTGGTCAGGGATTTTATATGATGTCTTATTTTAATAGAAGCTATATTACATTGGGATATTGGTTTATATATTGATGACATGGTAATAGGAGATATTGCTGTAAATCTTACTCATACTGTGATAACACAGAGTGTGTGTTCCCCTGACATTGCTATATTGTTTGCATCCTGTAACGCTGGAGGTAAGAATCTCATGTCATTAATTATGATATCATTGATCAATCAAGACCAAATGATTATCAGACAATAACCAGTCAACACACCGACTAGAATATATCCAGTGTAATTATATTTTCCCACATTTTGCTTCTTCTAAAAAACAGTACAAATGCTAATGGAGAATGGCATGGCATTTAACCATGGTCAGCAGCCATTTGTTGATGGGCAATTTGGGCATGCCTGGGCCAATTTGGGCATGCCTGGGCCAATTTAGGCATGCTTTGACAAATTTGGGCATGCCTGGGCCAATTTGGGCATGCTTTGACAAATTTGGGCATGCCTCGGTCAATGTGGGCATGCCTGGGCCAATTTGGACAAACTAGGGTCAATGTGGGCATGCCTGGACCAATTTGGACAAACCCGGGCCAATTTGGGCATGTTCGGGCCAATTTGGGCATGTTTTGACAATTTTGGGCATACCTGGGCCTATTTGGACATGCTTTGACAAATTTGGGCATGCCTCGGTCAATTTGGACATGCCAGGCCAATTTAGGCATCTCCGGGCCAATTTAGGCATGTCTGGGCGAATTTGGTCATGCTTGGGCCAATTTGCCTTGTTTAATTTGGGCATGCCTGAGTCAATTTGAGCAGGCCTGAGATCGGCCAACTTGGGTAATTTTGGCATGTCTGGGTCAATTTAGGCATGTCTAGACAAATTTGCCTAAACCAATTTGGGCATGTCTGGGTAAATTTTGGCATATCTGGGCCAGTTCGGGCATGCCTGGGCTCTGCCAATTTGTGTATGTTCTGGCCAATTTGGGCATGCCAAGTTTGTGGTAGTTTGGCATGCCAGGGCCAATTTGGACAAGCCAGGGACAATTTGGGTATGTCCGAACCAATGTGGGCAGGCCCGGGTCAGTTCCATTCAAAACTTACTTCATTCAAATGTATGAATGTTTTAAATAGTACATTACAGCACAATGTTCATTTCTTGTGAATGTCTAGGCTGACTAGTACCCAGTAGCCATGTTCTGTTTGTTGTGGGGGTCATGCTGGGTCAATTTACACATGTCAGGGTCAATTTGGGCATGCCTGGGTCAATTTGGGCATGCCTGGGTTAATTTGGGCATGCCTGGGTCAATTCTATTCAAAACTTACTTCATTCAAATGTATGTATGTTTTACATAGTACATTACAGCACAATGTTCATTTCTTGTGAATGTCTAGGCTGACTAGTACCCAGTAGCCATGTTCTCTTTGTTGTGGGGGTCATACTGGGTCAATTTACACATGCCTAGGTCAATTTGGGCATGCCTGGGTCAATTTGGGCATGCCTGGGTCATTTGGGCATACCTGGG